TAATCAGGTCACAGTTACAATAAATAAAAGGGGGTTTACTGTCAAAGGATACTGTCTAACAGAATACACTTACATGGATACTTCTTATTGATCTTTTTTTCTCTTATCTTTATTTGCATATTTGGTGTTGAGGTAATCGAAAAGTAACGGAAAGTTATTAAATTAAGTTAATATTGTGATACTTGGATTAGGTTACTGACTAGATTTTTTTAAACAAGTATATATATATATATATATATATCGGATTAAAGTGAGGGATCCCATGTGTCCTAGGAAACATCGAAAACCTAGTTTTCCAGTCATGGAAACACCTAGAAATTCATTAAAATTACCAAATATCCTGGAAATAATCTATACTGTCCTGGAAAATGTTTATTGTATTTAAGCCCTTCAATAAGATCCTCCTCAGAATGACGCAAAGAGAATTCTCACAAATTCCCAGTGAAAAGATGTCTTGTTGTTGTGGTTAATACATACACAGCAATGTTAACTGTACGTGCAACAAACACTTCTTTAATCGGCTAATAGGTCAGAAGATGAATTTCATGTAAATTAAATTACTTAATTTGAACTGTTACTTGTGGGCTGTGGCCAAAGTCATGTTACGGTTAGAGAAAAACTGTAGTAAAATCAGTTCAAGTAAAATAAATCGGCAAATTAACATGGAGTGTCTCATAAACGGGTTAGGGTTACTACGGAATCCATGCTACTGGCTAGCTTGCCGTTTACAAACCAACCCATCAGCTAATGCCACGAAGCAACCAACGCCAAGCCCACACCGCGCAGCCAAGCTAAGAGCCAGTCGGCTAACCTTTAACTTAGCTTAGACTACAGTAAGCCAGTTGGATGCCCCTGCCTTGCATCACTCTTGGCTAGTAGAAAGCTATTATGCTGGTTAAATTCCACCATTTGTCATAATACACAAGATTGTAAATTAGTGGAATATGTTAGCTTGCAAAATGTCTCTACCAGCTAACATGAGCCATGATACTTAGTATTTTGTGGTTACTTTAGCATGCTAGCTATGATTCCACCCAGCCACGCTGAATAATGTTACCCGGCGATGGCCGCCCCGCAACGCCAACTCACAAATTAATCCGCCAATCGCAACCCAATTTACCACAGATCTAAGACAATATTTTCTGCTTTGGTTCGTGGACAAAAACTGGACGTCATGAAGGTTCATCAATAAGCTTTTACTTTCTTGGCTACATGTTTATGTATATTTTTTGACTGACAGGTATAATGATTCATTTTACCAGTGGCTATCTTCATTAGTGAATAAGACAGTCTTGTCTAATTCTGTATCTCGACAACAGGTACCTATAACCTCAATGGACCTCTGGTGTCTGATTAAGCCGATAGATGCACTTACAGCTTTTATTCTTCCCTTCACTTCCATGGGACAAATGAGAAATGATCTGAGCGTTTTCTTTATTCTTCTTTTTCACAGATTTGTTTCCTTGTTCTTCTGTGACAATGGTAGGGAACATGTGTAAAGTACATATGTGAATTTACACCAATAGAAATACTGTACACCCATAAGCAAGAAGAGAAGAGAGAATGAACAGTGAAAGTGTGGACCAAAGAACTCAACAGGGATTTCTCTTAATTCTGTAGCAAGCAAATTAATCTGCTCAGAAGAATTCAAGGGTTCATTGTTTCTTTATTTCCTCCTTCCTGTTCTCATTCCAGGAAAAACACATTTGACCTTTCACCTCTGGCATCTTTCACCATAAACTGTATAGCTCTTTTCAAACACACAAAACCAATGCAGTTCGTTCTACAGCTGTTTAATGTACAACAGCTCACAGACAGATGCAGTTATATGATTTTGAAGAAACCAGCAGTCAAACTGGCCTAAAAAATGATACCATCCTAAATGTTTTATAAGACTGGCCTACCGGTTAGCTTGCAAATTTACTTCTGGATCACAACAAAAAGTCCAAATATAGAAAGTGTGACTATACAGAATATATGTTTATGCTGGACCTAATTTAATTAATGAAAGATTCAAATCCGACCGAATCTGCCCTGTAACGGTAGCAGCCCCCTCTGGAGTTCTTTTGAAAATACCAAGATGATGAGCTGAGATGCATAATTTCCTCCACATTGATTAAAATCACAAATTACTGGTGTCAGTAATTATATTACTATGCACAAAGCTGTATGATGGATAAGGTCTCCTCCAGGTCAAATAACAACCTAAAGTTTAGTTCAAGTTCACTACTGAACTCATGGATATGTGCAACCCTGTTTTATGTTTGTGTGTGAAACTACCAGCTTCATTTGGGTCTAAACAACAAAAATATCAGTAATATTGATAACAATAACATCAGCGTATTGGGTTTCAAAAGCTAGTAGATTTAAATGATAATTCCACTGAACTTATTTTCATACTTTTGGCTATCACTTCCAATTGGTTATGATAATACTGTAATCACCAAGAAGTTAATAGCTGCTGTACAAAGACGTTTTGCTGGGACCAACAACCAAACAGTTGGTGAGAAAGGTTGTAAACAAACCTAGATTATCTATAACTTTATTTGGGTAAATAAAAATGAATACAACAGTATGGCACCGTAGGTGATAACCATTTTATGCATATAAGAAGTGGTAGAATAAGTATTATAAAAATACTCCATTACAGGTAAAAGCTTTGCATCCAAACTCTTACTTAAGTCTGCTGTGATACTGTTGACTCACTACTGCCTGAATGACTTTTCCTGCTACCTGGAATTGGGTTGAATACGTTCTTCATGTGTATCTTTGTGACATAGAGACAGATCTGAAAAAAAGAGAAACAAATTTCAGGGTTGGGGGTTAGATTCCCACTGAGCCCAGTATGAGGGGGGATTCATCCTCATGATTCGTTCTGATGGTGTCAGATTTTATTTAAATGAGTGCAGCCACATTCAAGAGGAAAATGGCACTAAAACTATTTACTGCTGGGCAATATGAACTCTAATTCTGTGTACTTTTTTGTACAAAATAGCTTTTGGATCAAAACATATGAAAAAACACCTCTTTGACTCGACTGCGAGGAACAATATGATCCCTGTGTTGTTTTTATTTGGCTCTTCTTCAGCTGCTGTTCTGTATCTGAGTTTTTTTTTTGTCTTTTTCTGTTAAGCACTTTGTAACCTTGTTAAAGTGCTGTATAAATAAACTTCATCATCATCATTATTGTTATTATTATATTTGTAGGCTGTACTTGAGCTAAATGCTCACATCAGCATGCTCACAGTGCTAGTGCTAGGATGTTGATGTTTGCCAGTAAAACTAAACACAAACAACAGCTGGGAATATCACTAGGTATTTGGTCATAAACCAAAGTATGAAATTCTGATATGATGATGGTGCTAGATGGTCAGAAGATACAGTTCATCTTCAACTGTTGGACCATGGATTTGGTTGAGATATTTCAATAAAAAACAAAATCCTGTTAATGCAAATCTTCTTTGATGGTTCTGTCCCAGGCACAGGTACTGGAGAAATGATTTGCTGTTATTTTTAAGGGAAATTTATCACCAGGGTTTGAGTCAATGGGAGCCAGTGGGGTCTGAGGAGTCTCCCATGAAAGCAGTAAAATCATCTGTAGGGGTCTGTGTACATTACCAAAAACATTATTTTAATGACAGATTTTCTTGGCTCTGACTGGTTGTTTTTGTTCAGGCCCAGTGGATTCTTGCCAATGTCATTAGGAGCACTAGGAGGAGCCAGAGGAACTGATTTTTCTTCACAGATTATCTGTCTCATGTACTACTGTCAGGATATAATTAAAGTTTCAGCAAATATGACACAAAGTTATTTTTCTAAAAATTACCTAGTGCAGCTTTAACACCACTAATGTAGCCATTAGTTACAACTTATAAACCCTTTATTAGAAAGTGGTATCACACATTTCTTAAGCATGTCAATTTATGACAGCATAAAGCCAAAGTAAGCTGATGGCTTTGCCTCACACACCTCTCCTATCCCTTTGTTAATGGTGATTATCCATACATTACCTGTCAATTCTCACATTTGGCCACTGCACTCAAACTTTGCTGTTGTCCTATGGTCACAAAGCAAGGTGACATTGTCACACTATGAAAGAAAAGTGTGAATCGTTTTCCCACTACAGTGCTAAAATTATTGTCTTGACTTGCTGCGCTGTTGACAGCGCTGTCAGCAGAGGTGAAGATCACACAGTTTCTGGTCTGGGAGATGTAAGGTCGACCTCCGTGGTGTTCTGCACCAGAAGTGTGAGTCACAAAGAGTTACAGTATGTTACACTCAAAATATATGTGATAAAGCACCTCTAAGTGTATTTTAATTCCAGGATCTTTTGTACACCACACTGTTCAGTAGAACGTCTAACACTGCTACTCCAACTTATCTATATGTATTTGGTGCTATCAGCAGCCGCTCTGTTTGTTTTTTAACTGTCACACTGTTGCACTTAATTCTTGCTAATGGAATGACTAACAGGAACACTCATATCACATCGGGTATAAAAATACAGCTTATGGAGAAATGTTCTACTGCTAATAAAGGAAACAAACACACACACTCACACACACTAGTACAGTACATGTGCAAACAGGTTTTCACACATACACACAGCACACACACATATTTCCATCCATCCACGCTTAGTGATACGTGCACTCAAACATGTATACATACAAACATATGCACACATCAACACTGACACAGCAATAGACACACAAACACACACACACAATCCTTTCCAATACATTCTTTCATACACAAACATACATACATGCTTTCATAGCTCTCACTGGTGTGTGACAATCCTGTCAACACCAGAGGCCGGCTGAAGAGGAGGAGGACGGAAGGAGAGGAGGAGGCTCGTGCTATGCCAAGTGGTGATTGGCCGTTGCCATACCAACGAGGGAGGGCCAAAGTCAGAGATTGGTGGGGGAGGAGCTGTGGGCTGATTATAAAACCCTCTGAGCAGCACTTTCTCCTCTCCTGAGCTGTCTGCACTGTATCTCTGCCTCTCTGTGTATTCTTTCCTGTTATCTGGCCAGCTTGCAGCGCTCTGTGTGGAGGAGACGAAGGGAGGGTGCAGGGTGAGCTGTCAGAGGGACTCGTGGACAGGTTGGTCCATTTTACCCCGTCTTCCTGCCAAACCGTCTGTCCATCACTGTGTCAGAGCTGCCTGCATCGTGTGGATTTATCTCTGTGTGAGTGACACCTGGGAAGGCGAGGGAAACCTGAGTGGAGAGGTCAGCAGTGTGCCACCACTCGCCACCTCCCGTCCCCCACTCCGTCCCCCCTGTGTGTGGATGACCTGTGTGATCTTCTGTAAGTAGTTCTGCTGCAGCCACATCCACTTACATTCTTCATTAAGACGTGTTGACCTCACAGCAAGGGTCAGGGGTCAAGGGAGGCAGAGACAGAGGTACATATGTCGCTGATTTGAGGCTAAACTTAACGTAATTTTTTATCAGGACTCCTCATTAGCTCACCAGACATCTCAGTGGGTCACCCTGTGCTCCAGTGGGGTCTATTAATTGGCCACATTAGTGGGTAATTTTCTTTCTTTTTGGTCTGAAGTTCTATCTGGAGGTTAATGGTGCTTCGTATGTGATGAAATCCAGAGGTTACACTGCAGTACAAACTGATGTAGATTGTATAACTTTATTGTCTTTTAACAGGAGAAAGCACATGTTGTTCGATACACAGCTATTGGCTATAGTGATAGTTCTTCGCCTAATGGGAATCCAAACTATGAGGTCATGGTGTACTTTTTTATTTATAATAACATATAATGTACAGCAAGTACAGCCTGAGGATAGATGAGCCTCTTTATTGTCTGAATTTGAAAAGTTTGAAATGTCTTTAACTATTGCAACTGTATTGTTTGCGGCTGCAATAATATCTAAGGACACCTGAAACTCCTTCAACCACCCACCGACCCTCTCACTCACTCACTCACTCACTCACTCATCCACCTCTCTCTTCTCTGACGAGCCTCATGCATTAGTACTCACATTTAAACTGACACGGGAACAGTAGTAATGTAGGAGGGGCCACTCAGATATACTGAAGTCTATCCATAACCACTGTATACACAGCACTGTTTACCTACAGTATAAGGGCCTGCGGGTGTAATTGGGTGTCTGGTGTTTGTGTGTGTGTGTGTGTGTGTGTGTGTGTGTGTGTGTGTGTGTGTGTGCAGTGTACATGCA